TTAAACCCGTCGTCTTTGAGTTTGCCCCAAAGACTCGAGAAAGAGATGTAACGGTGAAGCACCGTGACTACAACCCACCCTTCTGCTTAGAAAACTTTTTTGGGGGGTGGGGGAAGAGTTTCCTTTCTATTCTGCGGTTTTTAGGCCTTTTACTACAACTTATTGTTCACTACGGCAATTTTTAGCTTATTTTTGTCAAAAAAAGACCCTCTAGCGCCTAACGGTTAGAGATAGAGCAAAACGAACGAAATTTTCGCCCAGAGGGCTCTATTTAGTGGAACATTACAAAAATTAACTTTTTGGAAGGATTTTTTAACCTTGGATACCCCCATTTACACCCTTAGGGTTGGTTGCCAGGATTTGCCATGGGCATTTCGTTCTCTAGAAGTGGACCTTAGGGACCGTTCATAAACTACGTAGTTCATTTTGGGGGGAGGGGGGTTCTGCCTTGCACTACGGTCGGTCACGGAGGGGGAGGGGGGGTCCAAAAATGCCCAAAAATGAACTACGTAGTATATGAACGGTCCCTTAAGATACCCTGAAAATATGAAGCCTCTAGCACATCTCCTTCTACTGGAACAGACAGACACACAGACACACAGACAGACACGAGGTCGTTTGCATAAGCCCGCTGGATAGGGATCAAAGGAGAAGGGCGGGCTAAAAAAAACTGCTCATCGTGCCCCAAAAGACAACTTTTTGGTCTAGAGAGACTTGAGTTAACCTCAGGTGTTCTAAAAATCGCGTTCAGTCGTATTTCATAGTAAGAAGGTTACAGAAGGCAGGGGAAACGTCGCTTGTACTGTCGGACTCAGCATTCGGCTCTTAAAAAAAAGATAACCCGAAAAATTTTATGCTCGATATACCAAAATTGCTCTTTTTAGCCCGCCCTTCTGCTTTAGAAAAGCTATGTAGCGGGCTTATGCAAACGACCTTGTGTGTGTCTGTCTGTGTGGCTGTCTGTTCCACTAGAAAGAGATCTGCTACAGACTTCAAATTTTCAGGGTATCTTAAGGTTCACTACTAGAAAACGAAACGCCTACGGCAAATCCTGGCAATCACTCCTAAAGGGCTAAACAGGGGTATCAAAGAAAATAGGGTAGGTCAAAAAAGTCAGGTAAAAATATTTTTTATATGATGCCCTATGGGGTAACTCGTCATAGTAGAATCTAACGGACGAAAATTTCGTCCGTTTTGCTCTATCTCTAACCGTTTAGGCGCCAGAGTGTCTTTTTTGACGAAAATAAGATTAAAATTGCTGTAGTGAACAATAAGTTGTAGAAGACCTAAAACCGCAAAAGAGGAAAGAAACTTCCTCCCCCCACCCCAAAAAACGTTTTCTTAGCAGAAGGGTGGGTTGTAGTCGCGGTGCTTCACCGTTACATCCCTTTCTCGTGTCTACAGGGCAAATTTTAAGGACGACGGGCTTTGCGGGCCGAAGGCCCGTTACATCATTTGATAATGTTCTTCAGCAAATCACGTGACAGAAATGGTCGGGCCGCAGGCCCGACCATCGCCGCCGGCAGGCCAAGCAGGCCCGGCCCCTGCCGAACGGA